CATAAACTCAAACAAACATTTCAGAGGTGCCTAGTCAAAGTCCAGATTTCAATCTGACCATTCAGCAGGTGGATGGAGTTAGAAAACCCTTGAAAACCCTCAATGTGTTAAAAATCATCTAACAGCCAATTCATTTATCACACAAGACCAGATTATTAGGGAAACATCTATTCAAAAATAAAATTAATACTTTGAAATGTCTTTTTTTCAGCTTGTAGAGCTTTTTAGAAAAAAACATTTATAATTAGAATTTAAACCCAGAGAAAGAAGGAAGGAAAGAAAGAAAGAAATAAATAAAGAACAAAAGAAAGAAATAAAAAGAAAGAAAGAAAGAAAGAAAGAAAGAAAGAAAGAAAGAAAGAAAGAAGAAAGAAAGAAGAAAGAAAGAAAGAAAGAAAGAAAGAAAGAAAGAAAGAAAGAAAGAAGAAAGAAAGACAGAAGGACAGATACAAGGAAAGATCCATCCTTTCCAATGAATCAGATCCTGTTTATCGTTCCCAGTCTGCCACCTGGTGGGCAGACTGGGACTTGCAGTTCCTCTCTGGAAACATTAAAACTTTATTTAGTCTGATTTGATTTGCAGGACAGAGAACTGGATGTGGAGATAATCTGAAGCCCAGACCAGAATAGAAACATAAAAAACAAATTCAACAATGTTTAAAGTTCAGAAGCTACATTTCAAAGCGGTGAAATGATTTAAGAATGCAGATGTTCGGCTGTGATCCACACAGTGTGTGATAGTTTCCGGCCAGCTGTCCGGCAGGTCCTCCTGTTTGTTGCACGTTAGGTCACGAGAGGTCAAGGTGTCAGAGACAAATGCTGTCCGCCTTGTTTAGCGTTCAGCTGCATGTGTCGTCTGTCCATCAGAGGATAATTAACGTAGCAGCAACCCGCTGCACCGAGTCACTACAGCTCTGGTTACAGCAGGACGAGATGCTGTCAGGCCGCAGAACTATAGCAGAACTACAGCACAACTATATCAAAACTACAGCAAAACTACAGCAGAACTACTGCAGAACTACAGCACAACTACAGCAGAACTACAGCACAACTACAGCAGAACTACAGCACAACTACAGCAGAACTACAGCAGAACTACAGCACAACTACAGCAGAACTACAGCACAACTACTGCAGAACTACAGCAGAACTACAGCAAAACTACAGCAGAACTACAGCAGAACTATAGAAAAACTACAGCACAACTTTAGCAAAACTACAGCAAAACTACAGCAGAACTATAGAAAAACTACAGCACAACTTTAGCAAAACTACAGCACAACTACAGCAGAACTATAGCAAAACTACAGCACAACTATAGCAAAACTACAGCAGAACTATAGAAAAACTACAGCACAACTTTAGCAAAACTACAGCACAACTATAGCAAAACTACAGCAAAACTACAGCAGAACTACAGCAGAACTACAGCAGAACTACTGCAGAACTACAGCACAACTACAGCAGAACTACAGCACAACTACAGCACAACTACAGCAGAACTACTGCAGAACTACAGCACAACTACAGCACAACTACTGCAGAACTACAGCACAACTACAGCAAAACTACTGCAGAACTACAGCAGAACTATAGAAAAACTACAGCACAACTTTAGCAAAACTACAGCAAAACTACAGCAGAACTATAGAAAAACTACAGCACAACTTTAGCAAAACTACAGCACAACTACAGCAGAACTATAGCAAAACTACAGCAGAACTACAGCAAAACTACAGCAAAACTACAGCAGAACTACAGCAGAACTACAGCAGAACTACTGCAGAACTACAGCACAACTACTGCAGAACTACAGCACAACTATAGCAAAACTACAGCAAAACTACAGCAGAACTACTGCAGAACTACAGCAAAACTACAGCACAACTTTAGCAAAACTACAGCAGAACTATAGAAAAACTACAGCACAACTTTAGCAAAACTACAGCACAACTACAGCAAAACTACAGCAGAACTACAGCACAACTACTGCAGAACTACAGCACAACTACAGCAGAACTACAGCAGAACTACAGCAGAACTACTGCAGAACTACAGCACAACTATAGCAAAACTACAGCAAAACTACAGCAGAACTACAGCAGAACTATAGAAAAACTACAGCACAACTTTAGCAAAACTACAGCAGAACTATAGAAAAACTACAGCACAACTTTAGCAAAACTACAGCAAAACTACAGCAAAACTACAGCAGAACTATAGAAAAACTACAGCACAACTTTAGCAAAACTACAGCACAACTACAGCAAAACTACTGCAGAACTACAGCAGAACTATAGAAAAACTACAGCACAACTTTAGCAAAACTACAGCAAAACTACAGCAGAACTATAGCAAAACTACAGCACAACTACAGCAGAACTACAGCAGAACTATAGCAAAACTACAGCACAACTACAGCAAAACTACAGCAGAACTACAGCACAACTACAGCAAAACTACAGCACAACTACAGCAAAACTACAGCAGAACTACAGCAGAACTACAGCAAAACTACAGCAGAACTACAGCGGAACTATAGCAAAACTACAGCAGAACTACAGCACAACTACTGCAGAACTACAGCACAACTACAGCACAACTACAGCAGAACTACTGCAGAACTACAGCAGAACTATAGAAAAACTACAGCACAACTTTAGCAAAACTACAGCAAAACTACAGCAAACTACTGCAGAACTACAGCAGAACTATAGAAAAACTACAGCACAACTACAGCAAAACTACAGCACAACTACAGCAAAACTACAGCAGAACTACAGCAGAACTATAGCAAAACTACAGCAAAACTACAGCAGAACTACAGCAGAACTATAGCAAAACTACAGCAAAACTACAGCAAAACTACAGCACAACTACAGCAAACTATAGCAGAACTACAAGAAAACTAAATAAAAATTACAGAAAAACTACAACAAAAATACAACATGCAGCATGAGAGACTTTATCAGATTATCTGATCTGATCAAAGGACAGATAGATAGATAGATAGATAGATAGATAGATAGATAGATAGATAGATAGATAGATAGATAGATAGATAGATAGATAGATAGATAGATAGATAGATAGATAGATAGATAGAAAGAAAGAAATAACAAGAGTTGTGCTGCTCTTTCTAATAATAAATAATCCATAAGATCTATTATTAATCTATGAGGTAGCATTTCTCCTGTTAGAAAAAAATCTATGAAACTTCCAATCCAAGATGTGGAAGATTTTTGAAACTCGTCCAGGAAGCTGGGGTTCCTGTCCGAAAAGGACCAGAGATCACCATGTGATCCAGTGGATCCTGTTCGATGGACTCCCTGCATGCTGGATGTTTGCCAGTTAAAAAGCGCCTGACACAGACAACACTTTTCACCTGGACGCCGCGGCTCGGATCCTCTTCTGGGCCGTCCTGCTCTGCTACTTCAAAGCATTCCTGGTGTGGAAACGGCGGCCCGGGGTGGCCCGCTCCTAACCTCCGCAGTAAATTAAGGAGAAGAGGCGGATAAAGCTGCACCTGCAGGCCTGACGTCTTCGCCTTCGGCACATGGAGGAGCAGTTAGGAGTCATCATCTGGAGGAAAACACGCTGTCAGAGGCCGCAATGTCGGGCCAGAGGAATGTCAAAGGAAATAATATATTTGTTAAACACTCAACATCTGTGAAATTACTGAAAATAATCGACCTTTTGTGTTCATGCTGTCAGAAAACATCCAAAGAGAGACATTTATTCAGCACATGCCGGTTCATTTTTTATTGGTTTACTTGAAAAATCCTAAAAAAACCCCCAACAAAAACATATTTTTCTCTTTAAAACCCAGTCCATCCATGACGCAAACCCCAAATGCCTCCACGTTCTCCTGTTCACGTCACGCCGGCCATTAATTTCCCCGCCGTGGACAAAAGCTGGGAGGCCTGTCGTGTCTCATCTCCTGCTCCGTTCCCACAGTAGTCAGTCGACTCTGCTTGTCTTCTTTAATCGTTCAGTAAATCTTTCTTGAAGTCAGCGAAATGCAAACAAAGGGACTTTCTTTTGTCTTTCAGAGCCTCAGGTCACACCCAGCGATACGAGAGAGATAAATCGGTGAATATATCTGGATTAGATTAATCTGGATGGGTTTAGGATTAGCTTTAAGATAAAATCAACTGGAAATATCTGAGGTTGCCTCTTTGTGGGTATTGAGCTCCATGCTGACTTAAGAGTTTTTAATTTTTAATCTCTGGTGGGATTGTTGTGAAAACATTATAGTCGTCCTCTGCAGTGCCTGCCAGGAGGACAAACTTCAACTTGCAGTTTGTTTCGCAACAGCTGCGTTTCCACTACAGATATGTGCAAAATTTAGTCAATATTCAGCTGGTGTAGAAAAAATACAGAATTTCACAACTAACACGTTTCCATTAAATAAGAAACTCAATTAAAATCACAAGCTTGTTGACATGGTGAGCCATTAAATAACTAAAGAAATGCTTCCAGAGCAGTTTACAAAATAAACCAATTTTATTTATTTATTTTACAAAACTGTGTTTTAAAAAGCAATTTCAAAGATATAAAACACATATATCTCTATCTAAATATCTCTTTCTCTATGAAGCTTAGTGTTTTTGGTGCCCTCTTGTGGTGAAGCAGCTTATCGCACTGTGTAAACCTGTTAGCTCATGATTAGCTTTCTTTTTGATTACAGGAATAATTTTAAGCACCAATGTTGAATTAAGGTCCTATAACATTGTAGGACAAGAATCCTTCCACTTTTCAGAAAGACTAATTCATATTATTACTGTTTTCGGTAAATATTACCTGAGAAGAAATCAAATGACAGTTGACCGTTACTATCTCCAGCCGTTAGGAGGACCGTCCCGCCCCGTGAGACTAAAGCGCATCCTATTGGCCAGGACCGGCTTTGGAACCAGCCAATCAGAGCGCGGGAAGCCCGAGCCCGGAGAGGTTCATAGGAATCGCTCCGGTGTTTCGCCTCCAGAAGAAAGTAGGACGTGTTCGCGGTGCGACCCTCATTCATCCGCTCAATTAACATCTAATTAGCCTTCAAAGCTGGAGCCGGGGCGGCGTGTGTCCTCCATCACACCCAGGAGAGCCTGATTACCGCCCCGCCCGGGCCGCCGGAGGCTGATTACCGCCCCGCCCGGGCCGCCGGAGGCTGATTACCGCTCCGCCCGGGCCGCCGGAGGCTGATCCCGCCGGAGGTGAGCCAAACTCGGTTATCGTGGTTTCTAGTTCAGGCTGGAGAACCTGAATTAAAACTGTGTTTTTTTTCTTAGTCAGTGACTTAAAAAGGACATATTAGTGACAGCCAGTTGCCTCTCCAGACAGAATAAACTTTATTTTATAGTTATTTTGGGTCTTGTGGGTTTTTCTCCACGCTTGTAAGACTTTTTATTTTTTTTCTTTGGATTTGAGGATTGAAGTTACTGCAGTGGAAAACTGTAAATTAATATCTCATTAAGAACAATAAGAACACAGTTACATTTATTGACAAAGTTATTTAATAATAAGGCAGGTATCAAAAATATTTATAAGGAAATCATAATGACACTTTGACTAGTTCATATAAAAACACTATTTTACAGTTTTATTATTATTATTTCCATAAAATTTAAAGAAAAATAAATTTATCTCCACATTTGAGTGTTTCACTAACAATACAACAGAAAGAAAATAAACTAAATTAAATGAAGCTGTTAGTATGTTAGCTGATACTAAGGATATTTGAAATCTGCAGGTTATTTTTGAATATGAAAGCAGTAAAAATAATAATGTATTATTGTTGAATTTTGATTTCTTAGTCTTGATGTTTAGTTTTTACTATGTGAATTTGAAGGTTTTGCAGTTTAGTCAGGAAGGTATTTTGTAAAGTATTTTGATTGTCATGCATTTTGATGCTTTTAAAGCAGAGACTGCATTGGAGCTCATTAAACTCTGGGCGCATTCTTTCTGTCAAATACATAAAATGAAAGTGAAAATAACACGTTTTGAGTTTTGTGTTATTTTAGATGAATCCAGTTTATTGTAGTTTATTATTGCAGCTCCTATGCATCAGATCTGGAACAAACTTCAGAAAAATTGTAAACCAGCCGAAACACCGAGTTCCTTTAAATCCAGATCCGACAGTTTAATAAGTTTTATTTTGTAGGAATAACCGAGGAGGACATGACCGACTTTGAGATCGACGTGGAGAGCCTGGAGGCGGAGAGCGACGAGCTGCCGGAGGACTCGCAGTGCTGCAGCCGGCCGGGCTCCGCGCCGCTCGGCGAGGACGACGGCGACACCGGGAAGGGCGACGGCAAGCCGGGCCCCAGCGGCCTGAGCTCCGGCGACCAGAGGAAGCTGAGCCGCACGCCGAAATGCGCCCGCTGCCGCAACCACGGCGTGGTGTCCTGCCTGAAGGGCCACAAGCGCTTCTGCAGGTGGAGGGACTGCCAGTGCGCCAACTGCCTGCTGGTGGTGGAGAGGCAGCGGGTGATGGCGGCGCAGGTGGCGCTGAGGAGGCAGCAGGCCACGGAGGTCAGTGCACAAACCAAAATAAGTCCTTTATATCTAATCAATTAATATTTATAAGGCGTAATAATAGTTATCAATAAGGTCAGAAGGAGACTGTATGCCAGTCCAAACGTTTTGCTCTGAAAGTTTCCAACTGAGGGGCCAAAATGTTCTTGATGAGTAAAATATTTACTGTTAGGGTTTATTGTTTTCAGATTTATAAGTTTATAAAATGTTTTTAGTTTATTCCCAGCAACTAAAGTAAGAACTTTCTAACAACCTTCGCTGTGTTGAGCTGGATGTGATGGATGGATGTGCAAAGTCTGTTTTTCACTAAAAACCTACATGTTATTATGAAATAACATAAAACTAAATCAAATGAAAAGTATTTGTGTTGTACTTAATAATTTCCATTTAAGCAGATATAAACTTGCCATGGAAAAACTTCTGCAGGTTTACCTTATTAAAAATAATTTGAAAATTTTCTAGGTGTATAATGGAAAAACTGGAACACAATTAAATCATTTCTGGTGAATAAAATCAGGGTTCAGGTGAAGCTTTCTCTGATGAGGACTGCTGTATTTAAATTTATTAAACTGAATGAAAGCAGCTCCGGGTGAAGCACAGTTTGCTTTTGATTTAAAGCCGAGTTCTTCCTGTTATATATTTTCTATTGTGAGAAGATTTCATTTGTTTGTGATCATTTGTGCCAGATTAAAGACAGAACGTCTCCATCTATATCCGGCACCTGAACTGGGGACCCAAATTTGTAACATTCTTGAGCTGAAGTCTGAGGCCACATTTGATCAATGCAAGGGCCGCAAACGGACCCCGGGCCACACTTTGGATACCCTGGTTAGATAAAACATAAGTGAACAGGTTTGGCTCACTATTTGGCAAGAAACCAGTAGATTTAGTCTCTTCTGACCTTTAATTAATGCATAATAAACAGTTATTAGTGATTTATAAATTGCTTAGAGATTAATTAATAACATGTCAATTAACTGTTTATTAACAATCAATAGTAAGGTAGTACCAAAATAATGAATTAAGTAAGTACCCAAAAATTGGACTTAATTAGTAAGAGCGGCTCTACTTCAACATATTTTTACTCAACTAAAAGTAAAAACTATCCATCCAAGAAATGATAGCAAAAAAAGTATGTGGTGAAAAGTATTTAGTCAAGTACTGAGTAGCTGATAAAAATCACATCATCAGATGGATCAAAATGTAAAGTTAAGTTTGGTGTTTTTAGAACAAAACTGGCAATAATTCATATAAAATAAAATAGAAAATGTTTCCAAATCAGTTTCTCTCATTAATAAAATGATGAAACTTTAATAAAAACTGCAGGTGAGTGTCTGAGTGGCGGATTTTTGGTTAAAACATTTTTGTTTTTCATTCAGTGGGAAGAAAATCCACAAATTTTACTCAAGTCAAAGTAGAAATACTTTATAATAAAATGACTCAAGGAAACTGAATTTGATTGAACTCTGCTCAGACCTGATCATTTATCTTTCATTGCAATCAGAATCTTGATTTCACTCATCAGTGTTTGAACTCTGTCCAGGTTAGTTTCATTTTTTATCCCCTGTTTTGTCATAAATATAAATAAACACAAAAATATGATTAAATGCAGTTTGTTTGCCATTTGGCACATTCTTTATGTTATGTTTTTTTTCTTCAAGTGCAATAGACTGCATGGCCAGCAGTTATGGCCATATTTACAAAAAAAACCCAAAAAAGAAATACAGGGTTATTATTATTATCACTTTTATAATTTGTTGCAATAGCAGCACATAATATTGTGATATTAAAAGTCCATACATATTTTTGATATTTCAAACCAACGATATCATTTGCATAACAGTTACTAATTGACAGCAGTTTAATAAATGAACAATTAATAAAAAACCAGAAGCAGAAACAGGGTTTCTGCAGATCCCGTCCCGAGTGAAATACGATTCACTTTTATAATTATTTCCCCGACCTTTAAAAATCACAACTTTAATATTAGGAGAAACTTTTCATTTTCTGATTTTATTTGCAGATCTTCAGCTTCTAGGTGTGGGTTTTAGCTTTTTGTTTGTTTTACATTTCTTTTTATATTCACAAATTATTGGGGAAAAAAATAGCAATTTTTGTCCAATAATTACAGATTTAAAAAATCAAATGAAACATAAAAAAGACTCCAAAAGAAAGAAACATCTAAAATAGTAAAACTAAAATATATTTGTCAAAATAAATATACATTTATACACTAATATTCTATTAAAATGTGCTTATAATGTTTACTTTTTTCTTATACTCTTTCTTTAATCTACAGTTTAATAAAATATCATAAATACTAATTTATGATGAGTTTAAAGCATATTTAACATCCAAAAGCTTAAATTAAATAGAAGATTTACATCCTGGGATTACTTTTAAGTCACTTTTTAACGATTTAACAACATTAGAAACAAGAGTTACGGCCCATTTTCCCTTAATGTTATTTTAAATGATCCAGACATTGAAGCTGAGCTCAGCTGTAACTAATCAGTTATTGCTCAAGAATCAGGAAAAACCTCCTGACAGCAGGGTTTAATGCTTTTCTTTTCTCTTCCCCGTGCGTCAGGATAAGAAAGGGATTTCTGGGAAACCAATTCCGGCCGAGAGGAGGATTTATCAGCGACACATCCGACCCTCGACGATGCTCGCCAAAAGCATCCTAGAAGGTAAGACGGCAGAAATATAAACCTTTCTTTGCAAATCTTCCAAAATCCCCTTTTACTCTCGCCTGTTTCTCTGTCAGTCAGAAAGACTTCAGGAAGGGATCAGGGCGGCGGTAGCCCAGGGCAACATGCTGCCCCGGGGCCACAGATATTTATTTTATCATCATTTATTTTTAGTGAATGTTTGGCAGGCTTTCTACTTGCTGTAAATCAATTAAGTGCATTTTAAATTAAAACATCCTCAATAATTTATTGTTTTTCTCTTTTTTCTTTTTCTACCAAAAACTTTATGATTAAACTTTTCAGTTTGGTGTTTTGGTCTCAACTTGCCCCTTTTTTGAAGGATAATTTTGTTCACAGGAACTTCATAATTCATTTTATTGGTTGTTTTGTTTATTTATTTTGGATATTTAAAAAGTCTTCCAGTTCCAGTGTTTAAATGTTGATTAGAATTTAAAGTTTATTGATCTCTCATAGGGTATTATTGTGCTGTTATTACTATTATTTTACTTGGAAATGGTCTCAAAATAACAATATTATTGTTTAATGCGATAACAATTTATCATCCAGAAACATTTATTATTGCGACAGGCCTAATCATAGCCGTTATCAGGTGAGCTGTACTAATATTTTAAGATTTTTATGACCATAATCAATACTGAACTGACTGCTGATGCTGTATTTATAGAATAGAAAAAGTGATGCTTGACATTTTAGCCACATTTTGCCAGAAAACATATATTCAATTACATTTGAAGCAAAAGAGGAACTCCCAAAATGAGTTTTTGTTAGGTTAGCTTTTTGTTTTTACTCGGAAATGGAAGCAGAAAAAACACAAGACTACATGGAATATTGTTGATCTTTTGCTCTTCCAAAATGTCTGTTTGGGTTGATTGTGTCTTTTTTCACCAATAAGGAAAAGAATAAAAAAATAAAGTAGGAAACTCTCCATTCATTTCTAAATCAATGTTTAAGACGAGATGGTTTGTTTTAAACCTTCCTGAATAAAAAAACCTGGTAATCTGAGAATATTCAGACATGCTTGGTTTGAGACAATAAAACAAACATTTTTTGCAAACAGTGGCGCTTTTTGATATGGGCAGTTGCCCAGGGCGGCATCAGAAAGGGGTGGGGCACCTCAAAACCATCTCTGTCTCATCATGTCAGTTGGATCCTGAACATGTCCAGTAAGCCTGTGTAGTGGAGTAAGTTTCCCTTAGATGCAGTTGAGTACTGGGAGATTATTACCTGCTTTCTGTGACATAAAACAAACAAAATCAGATAATTTCTTGTGTTTTGATTGGCTGGAGTGCGGCAGAAGGAGGGACTTGCATCGACCGCCATTTCTCCAAACACAACTGCGTATATATTTATATTTCAAGCTTACAAAGCCATTAATCACTCTGCTTAAGTCTGACTAATTGTGATTAATCGGATCGTTAGAGTCAGATTAATCTGGTAAATATTATTAATCAATTGGCAGCACTGATTTCAGTTGTTTTTCTGTATCGGATTGGTATCGGCTGGTACTGAACCTCAGATATCGTATCGAAGTGAAAAATTGGATATCTATCAACGTACTGTAATTTGCTTTAGAAAAAACCTTTTCTTTAGCAGAACAAACTTCTTTGCTGTTGCAACATGTGAACCACTGGTTGTTGAGAGAAACTGACCGATTTCAACGTGCAAATTTTGACTTGCTAAAGATTTCCAACGTGTTTTTCTGTGCTAACAGGATACCGTCCGGTGCAGCCGGATCCGTTCCTGGCGCCCAACGCCGCCCTTCCCCCGCCGCTGAGCGACCGCATGAGGAAGAGGAGGGCCTTCGCCGACAAGGAGCTGGAGACCATCATGCTGGAGCGCGAGTACAAAGAGCGGGAGGTTCTGGAGAGCAACCAGGCGGCCGCCGGCCCGCTGCTGTTCCCGGCCGGCCTGGTCCACCACGCTGCCGCCGCAGAGTTCAGCGCCTACAAGGCCGGCTTCTCCCCGGCGCCTCAGGTGGAGCATCAACCCAAAGATCTGTGCGGCTTCCTCGGCTCAGGCTGCCTGGATCTGCCGGCGCCGTATCCCAGCAGCGCCGCCAACGTCGAGTTGATCTCTTCCAACGTCAGCGTGGCCACCACCTACCGCCATTACCCGCTGCAGCCGTCGCGCGTGATGTGGCCCCGCGGCGCCGCCAACCTGGGAGACGCTCTGCTGTATCAGCAGTGCCTGTTCAACGCCACGGCGGTGCAGAACATGAAGCCAGGCGCCGTGTGGGAGCCTAAACTGATGCCCACTGAGAGCCAGCCGCCGGAGCAGGAGGCGGCGGCCGGGCTCGCCACCAAACTGGAGGGGTCCCGAGCAGCCGCCCTGCTGGACCCCAAACCTCCCTGCGCCTCCCAAATGAAGGAGTGCTCGGCCTTCTCGCCTCCAAAACGCAGCTTTGGACACTCCTTCCCCAGCAACAGTCATTCCCACAACCCAAAACTGAGCAAGGACGGCGCTAAGCTGTCCATGAAACTCGACTCCTTCCACAGCCTGGTCCAGACCTCGCTGGCGGGGAAACCCGGCGGGCCGGACCTGAGAGAGCCGCACTGCAGGGAGCTGCTGGAGGAGGCGGCGCGCAAGTTCAGGGAGGGAAACGGCAAGGACGTATCGACCAAACCCAAGACGGCGTCCGGCGAGTCTCTTTCCTTCTCGGTGGAGGCCATATTGAAACGGCCGGCGCCGGCGGTGAGCCGAGCGTTCCACTGACTGACCAGGATCCAGTTTTTTGCACTACAAAACGTTTTGGGCTGAAATGAAAACACAAGCACTGCTTTAAAAAAAGAAAAACAGTCGGTGTGAACTTTGTAACATGAATGTACAGGATATAATATTTTACAAGTGCATGTTTTAATAACGTTATTGTGTAGAGTATTTAAACATTATCTGATCTTTATTGTTTCTCATGTCAATAAACTGTAAAAAGAAAATCTCAATTTTATTTTCAACTTGAATAAAAGTTTTAATGTCACTTTGCAAAATATGTGAAAATATTTAAATGAATGAATACACAAACATTTCTACACTTGAAAACTGACTTTTAATTCAGCTTTACCAAATGCACTAAATGACCTAATTTTAAAATTAGATGGAAAGTATTTTTATCAAAGGCTGAAATGATTAATCAGATTAATTGATTAAATAAATTATAACTGATTTTAGCAATTGATTGTTAACTGGATCATACAAACTCAAAAAGCCATCAGCTGTTGAGACAATGTACTGAGAGCAGCAGTTAACCCAAAACTACCAATCATGTATATATTGATTATTGCATTAAAGATAGAAAACTTTTTTCTGAAATGTTCAAGTGGCATTTTTAATTTAATCTGGTTCAGATTCTGTAAAAAAAAAAAAACAATAAAAAATCCTAGTATGCAAATTTTTCTGACCATTCATTAATCAGAATAAATACTGATCAAACTTTTCATGTATATATTTATGTTAAAAGTATTTTTTAGCTGCCAATTTGCTACCAAAGGATTCATTAAAGGAATGCTACTATTGTATTTTGGCAATATAATTGAATTGTTCATTTACAGCTTTTAATGTATTTCTAATATTTTATATAAAAAGGACTAGTGATTTAATCAAAAATCTACAAAGTGCGCCATTTTTACGTTTAATCGATTAACCGTCAGAATAATCATTAGCTGCAGCACTGCAATTAACTTTTATCACAACAGTCAAAATGTATTTTGTACAAATATCGTCCCTCAACTAAATCTAAAAATCGGATTAAAATAAAAGACACTAAAAGATAATTATTTCATGTTTTAAATTACAGCAGTAATGTTTGTTATAGTTGTTAAACATGAATCATTAAGACAAGAACAGCAGCAGATGCGATGATTTATGGGAAAATAAAACTAACAGCATCTCTGCAACTCATTAAGTTTGTCAAATAAACGTCACAGCCAGTTACGGAGATGCTCCAACAGAAATCACCAGCTAATCACTCAGCTGAAAATAATTAGAGGGATGTAACAGATTGCTTTCTATCCGCAAACACACAGATCGCTGCGGCAACACGCAGTGTTTGCGGATTAACCGCTCATCAGGGGTTTGAAACGCGACGCGACGCCATAAATCTGACAGCAGCGTCACGTCCTCTGGCCTGGATGTGTGTCTACGCTCACTGCCCCTCAGCGTGTGTGTGTGTGTGTGTGTGTGTGTGTGTGTGTGTGTGTGTGTGTGTGTGTGTGTGTGTGTGTGTGTGTGTGTGTGTGTGTGTGTGTGTGTTGAAAGACATCTCCAAACGCGGGTTTCACTTGAACCGGTGAACACTGATCCGTGCAATGATGTAAAAGTCCGGAGAAAAAAGAGACAAAAAGTCTCTCATCTCTAATTGTTTCATCTCCTGATTTTGCAGTTCAGTGTTTCACCTTTTCATGTCGAACAGAGAAGCCACGACAGCAGGAAAATTTGAATATTTAAGATTTAACCTCATTACGATAATATTTCTTAGTGTCTGGTAGAATCTTCTCTACGGCCAGGGCCGGCCCAAGCCTCATTAGGGCCCAAAGTGAAATGTGTGTAACCAGTGCAGCCGACATTCTTTGATTAAATAAATTTCTCTTCAGCGTCGCTCCTATAGCTCATATGTAATTTATACTTGGGGAGTCTTTCTCCCCAGAGAATGTGAAGCAACAAATCAGAGCCAAGAGGAGGGTCTTAATGCTGTCAATCACTTCCATGTGGCGCTGCTCTCCCTTCTCTGCTATGCTGCTACTAGCATAGCCTGTTGTGAATGCTGAGGCTAGATGGCATAGCCACCAATGGTGGCGGATAAACTGTTTTTCTGCACTGGTGAGTTGTTTCTCCACCATTAGCACATTAAGCAGCGAATACATGAGAATGATTGGCGGCACTAAAACCCTCCTCCTGGCTCTGATTGGTTATTTTTTTGTGCTGTTTTTCAGACAGCAGTAGCAGCTCAGGGAAGAGGAGGAGGAGATTGATCTTTTCTGTCTCAAAAAATAATTTTTTTAAAAATCAAAGCTACATACTGCAACTTTAATGCATGTTAAGACATATTGGTTTTTTAACTACTGAAATAAACAGGTAAAAGGGTTTTTTAATTAATAAATTTTAGGTGTTTGTGGACAGTTCTGATCGGTAACCCCCACAATAGCTGGTTTTGTTTCCATTGTTTGAATAACTAGTAAACATCCATGCAGAGGAAACTCATTTCAGCTGCTTGTTGCTGCAGTCATTACTCAGAGTTTGTGACTGCAGATGGAGGCAGGAACGTAAATCGACCAGTAAATTTAAGTTTCATGGATTTGAGTCATTGTCTTGTTTCAGGGTCCAGTGTCACTTCAGGTTTTGTTTTTTCCAGATTGTCTCAGCTTTCTGATACGGTTAAATTCATGGTGGATTCTTTAACGGTGAGCTGATCAGATCCTGCTGCTGGAAACCGTCCCAAACCATGACGCTGCCACCTCCATGCTTCAGTGGCTATGCCGTACTTTTCCTGGAATGCTAACATCTGGACAAATATATTCTTTGTCCGGAAGATGAATAATAAATCATAGAATTATGGTCTCTGTCTTTAGTCTGATCTTCATGTTTATTTTATTTTTACAAAAGTTTCCTCCCTTTACACCTACAGACACATTTTCTGATTTTGTACAGACATGCATTTTTGCATCAGTGCTAGGAATAGCCTGCTTTGGGTTGTAATATGCTGTACTGACTGTAGCTGCATTTCCATTTGTTGCTATTATGCTAATGTAAAAGAAAAACAATTTCACCACAGTGGTTTTTCCGTTAAATAAGAAATTAAATTAAAATCATATGTGCATAAGCTTGTTCATGCAATAAGTCAGTAAAAATCATGACAGTGACATGTAAACAGTGAGGTGAGATTATTTTGATCCATCAGCCAATCAGCGTCTTATTCAGGTGTTGGAGAGACAAGCCCCGCCTACTTGGGAGCGGCTGCGTATTTTCCAGAAGAATTGTGGATTCAACACATTGGAATAACACACAACTATGTATGATGGTTGAGAGCAAAGGAAAAAAACAAACCATCATACTCCTACCACTTCCTGTCGTCTTTTTGTCATTTCCGCCAGTAGTAGCATCCAGTCATTGATCATTTGACCCGTGATGCGAATAAAGTGTTTTGTGGAATACAAATATTTTGATACAGCTGAAAAACCACCTTATTCCAGCACAAAAACCTTTTCTATTTTTAAAAGTTGCCAACATCGTGTTTTCATAATGAAAAATCTCACACTTTTTGACAAAAAAAATATTAAAAAATGTTTTTGCAGCAAAATTAGAACCAATGTGACCAAAAGGCTTTTTCAGTTTTTTTCTTACCAAAATTTTTCTTTTTGGTAAAAAAAAAAAAAGAAAGAAAGAAGGAAGGAAGTAAAAAAGAAGTGGCAGATTTTGCTTAATTAACAGAAGCACAGCTTTTGCACAGAACTTCAATTTGTTGATTTCGTTTGTCTTCTAATATTTTAGCTAATGTGTTCAGTTCAACAATTATTTCTGCTTCCAGCTTGCTACACTCAAACAGCTGTTTTCTAGTTTGTTTATTTGTAAACAAATAAACCTGAAACTATCTCATATTCCTGTTGACGGTTCCATTCAGTAGCTTTCCAGTAGAAACAGGAAGAGCACTTCAGCTAAGTCACATTTACAGCCTTAAAGTATCAAATCTGGAGATACGGCGAAGCACAATAAGGACCTTGAAGGGTTTTATGACTGCAGTCGTCCGCACTGCAGAAGGTGACAATGTTTGTCTCCACTAACTGCCACTGATAAGTATCTGCTGAAGGCCTTTCTCCTGTTTCATTCCCAAAGTGTGAGATTTAACACGTCAGCAGAGGGAACTGGACCTCCGACTCGCCTCCTCCATCTTCCCCTTATCTGCAGCTGGAGTTCACACAACCTGTAGCATTTTGTTAACAGCATGCAGGTGTTGTTTGCCATTTATAGACTTCAGTGACTTACCTTCATGCTGTGAGGTTAGTGAGTGAAACCTCACACACACACACACACACACACACACACACACACACACACACACACACACACACACACACACACACACACACACACACACACACACACACACACAATGGTATACGTAGCTCATATTTCAAGAGAAAGATAAAAAGATGAGAAAAAAAAGTCAGAGTGTTTGTTGTTTGTACACACAAAGTGTTGGATGTCACTAAGTCAGCACTTAAAGAAATACGTAAAATAAAACCTCCACCAAGATGCAAAGTCATAAATGTGTCACGCAGGCAGGGGAAGTTTTCATGTCAACATTATGAACCAACATATGGAATTTTCGATTCATTAAAAAATTTTCCCGCATTATTTTAGTTTGATTTTCAAAAGATAAAATTTTGTCTTTTTATTGTTTCAGCCAAACAGATATCACATCACATCGCGGTTCAAATGCAGTAGACACGTGATCGGTATCAATAGATAGTCCATTTGATAAAATATTCACTGAACTCTGATCCAGAACCGCACAGCATTCTGGGAAATGTAGGTAGAGGAAAGACGTTAGCCACTCAAACTCTCACAATGAGCTAAGCTAGGTTGGTGAAATCAACAAACTCACTCACTCTTTAGTTACGCTTTGATAAAATGAATTAAGTCTTTGCAAACAAAAATGTCTCTCAACACAAAAAAAATACTGGATTTTAGGCAGTTGTCGTCCAGTTTTGGTAAAAAATGGACGACAACGTGACGCTGCGGTGAGTCTGTCATTTTAATCCAGTTCATAGAGTCACGCAGAAACTCCTCATTCTGGCAAAACAGACATAAACCTGAGAGACACAAACCAGGCTAAATGAAAATAACATGACATAATGTGGATTTTCCCTGCTTGGATACAACGGCTCTATTCTTCTCCTTCCCTGCTGCCCATATAGCCCCTGGCTGCCCTTCCAGTGACTATGTGTTTGCTTTATTGCTTTATCAC